TTTTGCTGAGATGTTGAGTTGAGTCAGCAATATGTAGTTGTTGTAAGGGCGCTCGCCAATGAAGTTGCCCGGGGGATCATAATTGCAAGTCACGAACCACCAACCATCGTCGCACTGAACCCTAGCGCATCCGAGACGAACTGAATTGTGCCAAACCACCTGTTTGTATTGCCCACACTGTCCACCAACACAAGAGTTTGAATTGTAGTCATAGTTACCCTTCTCATTAACCCACAGGTTCACTGCATCGGTACCTGTTGTGAATGTGCAATGCAGTAAAATATCAAACATATGAAAGAAATTAAAAAAAAAAAAACAACGAACATGAGAATTTACATAGTTCAATAAAATTCTATTTATATCTATGAGAACGATTGTTTCACTATATAAAAATCTCAAACAGTGTACCTGTAAAGGAGGGAGTGCCTTTAGCAAGGTTTTCACCATATTGACCACTCGAGTGCACGAGATTGCAGTCACCAATCCTCTGATTAGCATAGTTTTGTGCATAGGCTGCAACGTTGTTGTCCCATGTCATAGGACCAACACCCACCTGTGAACGAGCTGCATTGTGGGCATCAAGGTAGTCTTGGGGAGAGTTTTGGGCTAGAGAGAAATGAAAGGCAGCGAAGACAATGAGACAAGAAAGAGTAATCGAGATATCAAACGACCTCATTTTGTATTTGAAATAATTAAAAACTTGAATTTTTTACGAGAAGTAATGCACATAATGGAGGGTTTATATAGGAAAATATTGTGGAAATTTCTCTATTTCCTATGATTAACGCATATCATGCAACCATTTAAGGAGTCATGACTATTTAACATTGAAAATGACTGTCTACACTACTTTGATTTGATCCAATTAGGGCAAAAGACCATGTAGTAGCGGTCACAAGGAAAAGTTGATTAAGTAATCGATTGGACAACGTGTTAGGATAATTGGAATAAGAATTCTCCAAAGTTTACTATCTCGAGATTTGAAATTTGAGTTAATGCTTTAAAAAAATCTTACGCATGTTCATTGCATCAGATTAAGAATATGAAAGACTCTCAGTCAAATTCCAAGTAGATTATGAAGACTTGAACTTTTCAAAATAGATGAATTTGTACCACCTTTAAGTAAAAAGGCTCGATTGGAATTTAGATAAGCATTAGTGTTTAGATAAATATAATCAAAAATCGACTTTATACATCTCATGAACTCAACATAACACAAACCCAACAATATATAGTGTTAAGCGTAAATTACACTAGAGGTCATCAAAGTATAAGATTTGTCTCATTTTAGTCTCTATAGTTTCATTTGCATCATTTTTATTCCTGAAGTATTGAATATGTTTCCATATGATCCTTCAAGCAGATAACATCCAGATTATTAACGATTTTTTATCATAAACTTGTTACATAATATCTGAATATTGACAAAAAATAATTTTGATAATTCTTAAACAAAATTTGAATAACTCTTAACAAAAAAAATGTGTAATATAAGTAGTTTTTTTATCAAAATTTGGATAACTCGTGATCAAAACTATGTAATTAAAGTTGCTCTTTAATCAAAATTTGAATAGAAATTTGGTTAAGAGTTATTCAATTTATTTTTTTGTCCATATTTAAATATTACGTGACAAGTTTATGATAAAAAATCGTTAGCAATCTTGATGTTGTCTGTTTAAGGGACTATATAAAAATANTCGTTAGCAATCTTGATGCTGTCTGTTTGAGGGACTATATAAAAATATATTCAATAATATAGGGACCAAAATGATACAATTGAAATATTAGGGACCAAAATAAAATAAATTTCATACTTTGAGGATTTTCAGTGCAATTAACGCTATAGTTAATAAATGGATCTAGAAAAGGTTGAATAGTTTTTAACATCACATTACTTTATATAGTTCAGAAACATAATACTATGGAACCAATTAACAGTCTCATCTCCACTTTGCATTTGAAGGGAAGTTACCACAAGGGACTTTTGATGAGCCAGAGGTTGGTGGTGATCATTACTTACGGGAGTCATTGAGTAAACATCGCCAGACAATAGATTTGTCAATGGATTATGTTTTAATTTGATCCGAATTTGAATTCAATTATTAGTCAACTGTGATTAGTATTTTGACCAATAATCTAAATTAAAAGTCGTTATATCATCTTTTATGAAATTGAATTTAGTTGAACTAACATCGATTATAATTTAATTCATATTATACATGAACATATATATTAATGTGTATATGATGAATTTAGTTATTATTTAATGAAATTAGATTAATATTTAGACATAACTTGTTAAACAATTATTTACTTCAATAAATTTTTTTTTTTTTGTTATAAGATTCAACCTATTGAAGGTCTTTCAAAAGACTTGCTCTATCGATGATCCGTATAGATATTTTTAAGACTTAATAAACCAATTTTCTTTTCACAATAGGTCTTTAAAAGACCCGAATTTTTTTGGAAAACCAGTAAGTTCTTTTATCATAGGTTTTTTGAAGACCAAAATTTCTTTGAAGATAAACAGATAGGTCTTTCCAAGACCTGGCCAGATTTTTTTTTGAGGTGGGATGCAATTTTGCACATGCACGTACACCTACAACATTTTTTAGGTTAAACATGTTGATGAGTTTTGTTTGTTTTTGCCAAAAGAAATCAAAGTCTCATGTTTTTTGCCGAAACATGTGTTTGTTTTTATTATCACATGTTGATGCTTCATGGGGATGTATTTTTATTTGAATCCCAAGCCTTGTATTTTTATTTTTATTTTTATTTTTTTGTTGGGGTCTTCTACATGTATTTCTTTAATGTGGTATTTCAAAGACCAGCAAAAAAAATTTTATGGCCTTTTAATGAACGAGATTGTTATGGCTTGTTTAAGTCTTGGGAATCAACAACTAAAATCCCACTTTTTTACTCCTTTGGTTGATCTTTGGAAGACCAATGTGCTATATCTTTACTCATTTTTATTTTTTTTTTGGTTTCTTTTGTGGTCTTTGAAAGACCAGTGGAATAGCATTAAGCTCCCTTTTTTTATTTATGGTCTTTTAAAGACCAAGGAGCTGACACCCTCAATGATGCCATATTTAAATTTATATATATAATTTGTACACTATTTTGAGAATTTAATTCCTTTTATTCGTTGTTTTTTAATGCAAACTAATTGCAATGGATATTTATAGTGAAACAACTTGTCAACCGGCTTTAGCCGTTAATGCTAGGGAGCTCAAGTTTGGACCACAATATAGGAGATCATTCCCACCGAAGGATTTGAAAATCAACATCCCTTCCAAAGATCCCATAAGCTGGATTCAAAAGACAGAGACTTTCATAACTTGGTTTATATTCGACTCTCAGAGGGAGGATACCGTGATTGATGTCTACAAAAATTGTGGACCTTTGTATAAAATCACGATGCTTGAGAAAGTGGACGGCAAAAGTCATGAGGATTGTAAGATACCGAATGACAAAGAATTTTATCCGGCATTACATCGATTATATAATGAGAAGAAAAATTGGCGCTCAGACTTCAAGTTCAGGGGACTTGCGACATTTCACCCATACTTAATGGAATGGACTGATTGGATTTTAGTTGAATATAAAGTGCTACTTGAACAAGCAAACATTTTTGGTGTCATGGCTGTGTCATGCTACTCATATGAGCGTTGCAAAGATGTTTGGAGGGCTTTTTGTAAATTATGGAGCCCATTGACCAATACTTTCCACCACGGTGTTGGTGAGTTAGGCATTTCATTATATGACTTGAAAGTCATAGGTGGTTTATCAGTTTTAGGCATTCCTTATGAAGAATTTTTACCACCCAACCAAGAATTGCTTGATGAGGACCAATATCCTTCTACTGTAACTAAACTTTTAAGGATCCATGCCACTTTGTGTGATCACCTTGAGGACTCAAAGGTGACTTGGATTCAATGGATTCACTTCTTTTATAGGAGAGAAATGGTGTATGCCAGTTTTGGGGAGAATTCTAATTCTATTTACAAGAAAGATGAAGACTTTCGTCCCACAATGCATCAATTGCCTTTGAAGGTATCATCAAGAGGGCCATTGGCTGCTTATTTAGTTTTGTGGCATAGCAGATTCGTTTTACCTCATGGAAATAGTGTGATGCGTCCAGAGACTTTCCATATGGCCTCTTTGTTGGTCAAGGGAGCTGTTGTTTCACTTACTCCAAGTGTTTTGGTTTATATCTATCATTGATTGGGAGAAACTATTACTCACCCTAAAAGTCTATCGTCGACCTCAAGATGGATTTCCTCCTAATTATCCATTGTTAATTAGATATTCAAGTGTTCGAGGAGAGGATATGAACACTTATGCAACAAGAATTGGTTTTAGACATAGTCAGCATCTTTCTTTCCAACCCACTTCATTTGATGAAAACGAAGATATTGAGTGTTTGGATGTTGCAAGGATTTCAGATAACACTATGGAACCAATTAACAATCCTATCTCCATTTTGCATTTGAAGGGAAGTTACCTCAAGGGACTTTTGATGAGCCAGAGGATGGTGGTGATCATTACTTACGGGAGTCATTGAGTAAGCATTGCCAGAAAATAGTTCTTTCAATGGATTAAATTTCAATTTGATCCAAATTTAAATTCGATTAGTCAACCATAGATTGGTATTTTAACCAATAATCCAAACTAACATCCATTATATCATCCTTCAAGATTTCAAATTTGGTTTGGATATTAGTTTATATCATCCGTGATATAAACTAACATTCGTTGTCATCTGATATTAGTACAACCTAATTAGAATCAAATTATAAACTAATATCTCATATGTTTTCATGAATTAGTAAGGTATAAACGTCAAGTCTAACATGGATTGATCTAATTGAGTTGGACGTCAGGTCTTGCCACCAAGCATTCTCTTGCTATCAACCATATCTTAAAATTAAGCATGGCCTAGCTATTTAAAGCATGCCTTCAAATCAATTCCCAACAAAAAGTATGTGTACAAAATTCATTCAAAGGGTATCGCCCGGAGGAGCTTTGCTCTTGTTTATGGCCTGCAAGACAACCAAACAGATCAGGGATAGTGGCACAGGTAACGGTGAGAGACTCCAATGCTTTAAGTCAGTGTGAGAATCAAGATCAGCAAATGAGAGAACGCCATAAGTTTTCCTTGGAGGATGCAGGTGTTTGTGGTGCCAAAAGAAAATAGCACCGTTTTTGCACGCTTTTGGCACTGTAGAAGACCAAAATGTAACATTGGTACACAAAATATAGCACAAGCTATTGGAGATGTTCTGAATAAATTCAATTTGGATCTGGTCACAATTGCCCAAATGTTGCGAAATTCCCAAAAAAATTTCCATAATGTCCAAACATTAGGAAAGAAAAACACAATCAGATTCTACTCATCTCTCTTGCTTACAAGCCATACAATCTATACGCTGGGTAAAACACTGGCTATGGCACAAAATAAATAAATAGGTATATACCTCATTGCTACATGAATTAAGTACAACCTAATATGACCGAATTCCAAACCCACCATGGTGGTTTAGAATAAAACAAAAATATCAACGGAAAAGAAATAAAGCAATTTCCAAGTGAAAATAAATGACAATAACATTTCAATTCCCAACCTTGATGTTGTCTAGATTTGCTATGAGTAAGTCATTCCAAGTATCTGTAATTCCCGGTAGGCACCAATGCATGCAATCATCGTGTTTCTTTCCACCAGCTGTAGATGGATGCGCATCAGCTCTAAACTCACTCATGTGGGATATGTCCAACATATGGAAACCAGAACCTTGAAGGGCCTTGTACAGGTTTGTCAAAGAGAAAAGTTCCTCAACCTGAGAAATACCAAAGCATGAAACCAGAACTTTCCCTTACAAGTTGCAGAGTCATGTAAACAAACCAGCCAGCACATTGGGATCAGCTATCTTATACAATGTGATTTCCACTCTGATTGAAAAACTACACTGCTTGTTGAAAGCCTCAATCATAGAAGGAGACTCACCTTTTGAGGCGAAAAAGGTTGTAAACGCAGACAAGAACCACCTTGGTCCCAGTCACCTCCTTCAAAATGTCTGGGGCATTGAATACGAAAGAATACGACAGTATTTGATCGGGTTTTGCCCTCCAAAAATGATACCTATAATTGAAATACATGAAATAAATGAGCAAATATACACAACTAAGATCCTACTAAATGTATGGGTACAACATTCTTCTATTGCTGTTGGGAGAGACCACTGACAGAAATTTTCTGCATTTCCACTTATTTTATGCATCAATATTGGACCAAGTTATTGCAGATATTTTCAAAATAGCAACTGAAACCAAGTGAAAATAGTTGTTTTGCTCACTTACGGTTATACAGTTCTCCATTATCTTGTACCAGTCTGTTTCATATTCTTGCAGTCATTGCAAATAAAAAATGAATTAATGCCAGCAATATAATTTTATTTTATTTTTTTAGAGGGAGGGGGAAGGGGAGGAGAACTTGAAACCTTGACCTCAAGAAAGGCAAAGCCTTCACAAGTCGTTGGTAACCAGCAATATAATTCAAATTGAAGCTAGAATTTTATATTTTAGGTCCCCAAATTTTGCACACAAGGCTAACAAGTTAGGACCAGACATACAGACCTTGTAAGGGTCAACAGAGTGACATATTAGAGTCCGCTAATCTGGACCACTCGATTTCATCCATATATTTGGGAGGTGAGAATTTTTAGTATTATCTCATCCTTGCTCTTTCTGCATTGAATAGAAGTTGCATGCCTCTAGCACTACACTTCAGAAAAAGACCGGACATATTTTACACCCTCGTTGACAAGTCATTAGACAATTATTCTAAAACATAATATTAGACCACTTTCATCCAATAAAAGAGAAAGTTGCATCGTTTTTTTCCATATGATTATACACCTCAAGCAGTAGCAACATAGAAGAAAGAATGTCAAATGTAAAATCACTTCCAATGTAGAGGCAAATTTATCCATGAAGCCTATCCTGAAATACTTGAGTTTGGGAAGACAAATCCAACTATGGCATTACATCTATGAATAGCACTTGCATACTTTGACATATCAATAAGGCACCAGAAGTGTAAAGTCTATTTGTAGCACAATCTTATCATCCGCAAATTGGCATGTTATTGAGGAGCATTTCTCAGATTTGATTCAGAATTTAGAGAGAAAGTAGGCGACAGAGAGGTCATTCATACCATGTGCTTTAAAACCATATCAAGGCCAGCATCAGGCGGTATTGTAGGCACCACTGGGCTACCCTTTTCGAAGAAAAGCATGGGTGATTTTACAGGGTCAAACTTTGAAGGAGCCCACCACCTTGAGAAGAACAGAATTGCCAGTAAGTCAGAAAAATCTAAGCCTCCCAAAATATCAAGATGAAAAAATTCAAAGTTCCACGTGAAAAAAAAAAAAATCAAGTGCCACGTGAGGATGAAACTAACTGCTGTGGCCAAGGATATGATCATCTGATTATGAATAGACTGTACATCACAAGTGTAAGATGCTAGCCCCTCATTCTCCTTTGGCCCTTACGGACCATCCCAGCCATTTTGACCCAAGAACGGGAAAAATACAAAATATGACAGACAATTTTCTCTGACAGTGGTAGATTCACACTTATGACTTAACTGCTTGGGTGCTAAAATATACCTGCTACTCAATTTACTAAGCAATGAACAAGACGTATGCATTTCTATCTTTATAAAATAAATAAATAAAAATAAAAAGAAAGAACGAAACAAAGGAAAGTTCTTAATTAACATGCCAGCAACCAGCAACGTAGTCTGCATGAAATAGGATCCTAGAGGAATAATGTACCAGTGTCCTGTGTTAAAGATGAGAATATCGTGGAAACTGGCAGCCTCTACCCAAGTTCCTTCTGGTGTATCAACATCAACTCTGTAACCCTCCTTGTATCCGAGAGATTCTAGGACACCACCGTTTGGATTGGCTGACCATCTATAAAATATAGGAATGAAACAAGGCTGTGTTAACATGTAACCAACACATGAAACAAAATATATCAATCCATTGCTGGCACCAAGAGACCAAACAAAAACTCAAAATAGATCCTTCAAGATAGCAGTAAACACAATCATGTAACCCCTAGCAGCTCTTTCCAAATAGAGACAAGCAAAAGAACACAAGAAGAATGTAATTGCAGCAAATACAAATAAAACTGTACTCCGTTAAACAATCACACAAGTACAATTTTCCAACAAACACAGCTTACCTACCATAACACGCCAAAAGATTTGTGCGATGATAAGCAATAGTAAGGTTGTACTGGAGAAAGGTAAATCCTCGATCAGCTCCAGCAGGACGCCACTTTCTCACCTCACCCGGCACTTGTTTCAAATTGCAGAAAAGTGCAACAAACATGTTCCTATTTAAGGAGTCACCCACAAACCCTGCACTGTTACAGATCTATAAGGTCTACAAATTGTGTAAAACATAAAGCATGGATAAATTCTACTAATCGAAGAAAAAAACATGGAGAAATTAAAGAACACAACACTAAGCCATTTGCAAAAAATAAAACACAATGACAGGGAACCCTTTGCTCAGAAAAACAAGAATGATAGAGACACAAACAACATTGAATAGCATTACTCAAAAGTTAGTTTTTTCATATCAAACTCAGGTGTATTAGGCATTTTTAAGTAGAACTTTCTGTATAATCAGGTCAGAAATCAATAAACACGCAGAGATATCCGATTATAAGATATCTTCCTTTCTCTGCATTTCCCCAGGAACCAAACAGCTCATTAATAGACGAACGAAGAGAGAGTGAGTGTGTGTGTGTGTGTGTGTGAGAGAGAGAGAGAGAGAGATGTACCAATACTGATGTCTCTGTATTTCTCGAGGAACCGAAGAGGCTCAAATTGTGGAAGATCACAGTGATTGGGCTTCCAACGCCACTTGACAATATCAAGTGCATTAGCTTTGTTACTGCCAATGCAATTCCAACCTTTTTATATCTCTTTACAATTGTTGTCGTAACGCGGAGATCTGATCGTTGAATCGTAGATCCACTGTCCATTGGAGTAATCGCACGGTGTGTTCAATGCGTCAGAGGCTTCGGAGTCGAATTCCAGGCGGTGGTGTGGTTGAGGAGGTGACACAGAGGTTTTGAAGAGAGAGAGAGAGAGCGAAAAAGAGAGAGGCGAAACAGAGGAGAGAGAAAAGTAGGGAGGAAGAGGAGGAAAGAGAATATGTAGCTTTCTTATGGTGGTGCTCCCTTGTGGCCATGGAGGATACTGAGTGCCCCCACCCCGGCGCACATTAACGCCAACTCCTTTGATTTTGTGCAAGACCGTAACAATACAGAAATGTTATGTACTACCTTAAAAAAATTTAAATTCTTTATTTTATACTCTTAAAAAATTACGACAGTTAACAAAAATGTCATATTGATATTGTAACATTTTTTGTATATTAATGGTACAATATGAAAATTTTAATTTTTGAGAATATAAAGTAAGAAACTTAAAAGTTTTTTAAGATATAAAATGTAAAAAAATCAATGTTAAATATCGAAATTGACCCATAAACTTTAGCTTCAATTTTAAAATAGTCTTAAACTTTTAATTGTTTTAATTTAATTATTAATTTATGTATTAATAAAGTTATTCCTCTCATTTCACTCGGTAGAACAAACATAAGCAAGTCCTCGTGTTTGTTATGTGATCGTCCACGTTGTTTGTCTTCATTTGTTTTCACAATTAAAATAACTAGGAAGTAGGGGCGGAGTCAAAATTTTATCTTTGAAGTCCAAGTAGTATTAGGCGCAAAACATTTGGCCACTAGTGCTCAAATAATATATCCCATCTTGGTAAACTTCCCATAATAAATGTATCATATATCATATTTTTTGACTAAAAATAAACGTTATTAAATATCACATAAAAACAACTATATGATATAATTCATTTTCACAACTAGAAATAAGCATTCAATAAAAAATAATATTATATTATTATATTCTTAAATATACCGCACAAATTAACACATTAATATTACACTTCTTTTAATTCAAAATTTGAAAATTTTAAATATTCAGAATTAAAAACACTAACCTGCTAATTAATAGAGAAAAAATAGAGATTGGATTAATTTTTGCTTGATCTTGAGCAAAAAGGCAAATGACTTCTTTGCAGGAGTAGTTCAGCCATGAAAAGGGTCTGAATTTAAAAAAAAAAAAAAAAGCCTTTGAAGGGTATAATTATTCTGCCAAATTGACTTTTTATTGGCACATAATTAAGAAATTTTTCAATTGCTAATCATAAAAGGATTGGTAAGTGCTCGGCTAAATAGTTTATTAGATTAAAGGGGCCCACAAATAGTGATTATATATGTAAAGAAGATTTCTACTGGAGGCTTACCAAAAAAAAAAATTTATTGGGGGGCCATTTCTTCAATAGCAGACTTCTAAGATGACTAAAATACTACTACTCTAAAAATTCATAGTGAAAGAGACGTTATTTTGTGATATTAATCTTTAAGTTTTTATTAATTAAAATTGAGAAGAGTACAATATTTTTGTTTTACTATGCGACGTTTTATTATTATCACGATTAATATTTATAAAATTAACTAAAAGTCTATAATCAATGTCTTTTTTTGGTATGGTATTAAAAATATTGAATCTCATCATATAAAAAATGAGTAAAGGACCAACATTTCTCATAAGCTAAGCAGCACAATTTAAAAGATTACAATAAGTTTATGATTAGATTTGATGAGATTATGATTCAACTATTATATAAAATCGAGTCAAGATGATGTTGCCTAAAATCAATCTTAATACTTTTATATCAATACAATTTTTTTTGAGTTATACCTAGACTTTTAATCAATCGAAATATGAAAAAAAAATTATAACTAACCCCTAATTAGTCATAACGTAACTTTCAATATGGTACTGAAATCACTTCGGTAATTGCTTCCTTGACAAAACTGGCTCAGAATTCTCACATATTTAGTTTTCTTTCACAATTATCACAAAAATAGAGTGAGTTTCAACATGCCAAAAAGAAATACATTTGCAACTATAAGAATACATTTTTGTGGAGGCTAACTTACACAATTCAACAAAATTGTAGTGACTTGGATGGAATATATAACAAGGCAGTTTGATTTCCAACAATATAATTTAGTCCCCTATTGGAGTCGAAGAAGCTAATTGACAACTATTCACTAAGAAGTCTATATGATCCTGAGATTTTTAATGGTGTGACTTGAGGTGGACAACTTGGCAAGCCGGCTTGTATGACCTCTTGGTTGCAGCCTGCTCAAACTTCTTTGTGGCAGCTTCATTTTCTTGTAAGCTGGTCTGAACAAAAAACCTTATCCACCAAGATGAGCTCCGCAATTTGGCCTTCACAAGAAATACATAGCAGTCTGTTAAAGAGTTGGACATTGGGTATACTTTTCAAGGCAAACTACAAAGGTGGTTGCCCTCCTCAATTAGACATGGAACAAAGGCTAACAGGAACAAAATCAATTTTTTAAATGTAGCAGAAGCCACCATTTTCACTTCCAAGATAGGGTTTTACCAAACCAAGAATCACATGTATCCAATCTTTTGTTTTCAAGACATACCACATCTTATTGTAACATTTACTCTGCTTAAAATTCCCCCCCCCCCCCAACCAAAAAAAAAAAAATGCCCCACAGATGATATATTCATAACTCATCTATAAACATTCTTTTAAACATCCGCTCAATGATATGATGTCAATCCTATGTTCTTTTTCATTTTTGAGGTGGCAAATGGGTTCAAGTTTCAACCTCCTAAACTTCCACCCAGGTCTTTAGTATGACATCTAAAACACTAAGTGATGCAAGTTAGATTATATTTCACTCCCGCTACATTCAGTTTCCAACTATACACAACAAGGGAAGAATTTTTCCGAAAAGCAAAAGATAAAGAAATTCAGGATCTTGGATATACATTAATTTTAAGAGGAGGATCATTGGTGGATTTTATGCATCAGAAGTTTAGAAGCATTCAGATGCATTATTTCCAAAAGGAATTTTGGGAATCTGTCCAGAATCATACTATCCAGAGATAACTGATGCAATTCTGCTAAAACCATTTAGGCTGTTACTTCTAAATTAGTCAAGAAGCAAACAAAAGTTGGATGTTGATAAAATTATCGTTCAAAAAAGCATAATGTTAAAACACATCAGCAACACATTTTTAAAGTTATCCACAGGGAAACAAAATAGCACAACGATAACTAAAATACGAAATCCAAAATGATAAATCAATTACTGGACGGCCAAACTTGGCAAGCTCTGCCACTTTAGCTCTATCCTGACCTGAATACCCTAAAACCAAAAAGGACATGTCAGCAAATATTATACAATAGGTCTTTGCAATGAGGACAAAAATCTACTAATAAAACTTTTTAAATATAAAACTTTGTAAGTATGTACTTTTCCAAATTCAATTGATTCAAGACATCAACTAGTTTTTGACGCCAAATAAGAATAAATATGCATAAATTTTTTAAAGGTAATAAATATAAAACTAAATTCTTAAGGGATTTACCAGAAAATACGACAAAACCATCAGCAGATACCCTTGCCAATTCTGGAAAAGTTTTGTTAAGGTACTTTGGGGACAAGTAATCTAACACATCTGACACTATGACAAGAGAAAACAACTTTGCCTGGGAGGGAAGAGGAAACTTAATGTTAGCCACACGCACAATGCCTTTGCGCACAAGAGTCTTGCAGCTGCCATCAGCGTCATCTGATTCATATGGCTCCACACCCCAGGCTTCAGTATCCTTCTCTTGTAATAATTTAGGAACAACTGAACAGGTATCAGGGCCTACATGCAGTACTCTACGCATTCTATTGCCATAAGCTTTCTTCAAAATAGGTAATGCTCTTTGAACTTCTGATGTGCATGAAAGGCCACGTGCATATGCACACTTCAGATCTTTAGGTTGGAAAATTTTGTTCCATCTAAGAAGTTATTTGAGGATTGTAAAATAATATATAAAACTAGCACCTCAAAAATAGTCAATACAATAAGAATTTAACGATTCTCAACATGTCCAAATACGGGATTGAGCATACTCTATTGTGTCTCCGAGCATTTAAATGCTGATAAATAAAAACAGTTAAGAATCAGATTTCACCTGAAAGTAAGCATGCATAGTGTTTGTCCTAACACGGTAAGATTACATTTTTCCAACTACATGGTATGCATCGCCAAATATCAGATCACACAAATGAGACCTCTTGTAAATTGGTACTACAAAAAATAATTTTAGTAGTAAAAACAGTTTAAGACAAGAGACGATGGATAACAGTATGACTTAATCAAACCTGAATGATATGGCATAAAGGATCAGAAAATGTGAAAACAGCGATGATTATATCTAATAGGTATAGCGGCAGTGAGAAAGAAACAAAACAAATCTTAGTGAATGTGAGAGAGTTTCCTAAATTTAATTTTTTATTGTAATTAGACATCATTTTTGTAAACATGGCATTCAGCCAAAAGGTCACATCTCTCATCTAACAGAGCCACCATAAAATAGATTGATAAATTCATCTTCAAATTCAAAACACAAAGAACCAAATTTGCAAAGCAATTACGTTGAAAATGCACATTGTCAAAATTTTGTTCAACAACCAAATTAAATCTGTTGAATGGTACATGAAGCAAGATGTAAGGTGCTTCAGTAAATTATCATAGGTAGTTAGTTACCTTCAAGCTTACTTAAAGCCTCTGTATTGCTAGCGGTTCCACCTGCATTTTTCGAAGACACTTATAGAAGTTAAGAATGCATGGCAGAAAATAATATTAGTTTTTTCCTTATTGCAAAAAGAGATAAACTAACACAAATCAACCCATAGGAAAACAAAGCATAGATCATACATAGCACACATAGCCAAACACAGACCTGAACTACTAAATATACATCCAATTATCAAGATCGCACCCTGAAAATTTCACAGAAAAAAAAAATCCAAACTCAACAGTTTTCAACTACTAACTTGATACCCAAATCAGAAATTACGTTTAATGTGGTGGTCACAGTAAGAGGCATCGAATAAGAATTGGAAAAAAAGAACAATTTTAATCAACCATATGAGAGAGAGAGAGAGAGAGAGAACGGAATAGAAATATACCACAACCAAAAGTACAATAGATAATATCGGTGATGGGCGTTATTTGGAGTGCAAAGAGCTCACAAATGGAATGCCTCCACCATCAGGAACCCGTCGAGAAGTGTCAGGCCTCCTCGACATCGCTGACATTGCTATAATCACACTGGTAATGACTATAACTCTGCAAGACCTAGTATTAACCGAAGTGGATATTCGAGATTGCAATTAACCTAATTTGAACAGAGAAGAGAGTTCTGAAGAGTAAAGAGAGAGAGAGCTACCTGAAAATCAGAGGAGATGAGTTGGAGAAGGCGGAGGTGAGTGAGATACAGATATGTTCATAACTTAGGTTAATTATACTTTCAACCCCAACCTATAACATTGATCTAATTCTATCCCTCTACTGTCCGTTGTCTATCGTTATCCCCCAATTACCGTACTAAAAGCATCTCCAATGTTCTCTTCTTTTAAAGAGCATAGTTTTTCAAATAGAGAGTATCTATCATAAAGATTTAAAATAGCGAGCACAATATTTTTGACAACTCCAATAGATTCTCTATTATAGAAAAAAAAATAATTGTATAGTCAATAACATTTAATAAATATCATTCATTAAAAATAGAATATACGGTGAGTTAGACTCTTCGAATGTAAAGAGTCATATAAAACTCTCTATTTTAANAAAATATACGGTGAGTTAATTGTAAAAAAAAAAACTCTCTATTTTAACTAGTCTAAATAGAGAGTCTATTGGAATATAATTGGCGAAATTGAAAGGGGTACACCAAATTTGAGTTAATTGTAAAAAAGTATAAAAAAAATGTAGAGTAAAAAAATCCTTAATTTTGATATTTATTTATTTTCAAGTACATTATTTAAAATTTTCATATTTTCTTCTGACCTTTGTATCCTCCCTAGATCCATGCGTATTTTTTTTTTTGGAAGAAGTACTAAACATCTCATAGTTTTATGAGAGAACTTTAATATTCCGTTTTTTTATATTCTCCCTTGATTCATGCCTTTTTTTTTTTTTTGAAAAATGATTTTATTTTCAAATTATATTTAATGCACCTTAATTCATGCATATTTTTTTTGAAAAGTGATTTTATTTTCAAATTATATTAATATCCGAATTTCATAACAGTATAACAATAACATTGTAACAAGACATTTATACTAAATATTATACTATTACATTTTATCAAACATATATTTTCATATAANCCATAACAGTATAACAATAACATTGTAACAAGACATTTATACTAAATATTATACTATTACATTTTGTCAAACATATATTTTCATATAATTTCATTGAAAATAGTTCATCTCTGTTTTGAATTTGTTATCACATGCACAAAACTACTGAACACTGTTTTTGTTATAGTGTATTATTATAGTGTATTGTTATACTGTTTTTGTTACACTATTACTTAATGAATTTGTTACGTTTTTGTACAGTGTAAATAATTTTATATTTCAAATTATTTAAAAAAATAATCAACAAATTTTNGTGAGTGAGATACAGATATGTTCATAACTTAGGTTAATTATACTTTCAACCCCAAACTATAACATTGATCTAATTCTATCCCTCTACTGTCCGTTGTCTATCGTTATCCCCCAATTACCGTACTAAAAGCATCTCCAATGCTCTCTTCTTTTAAAGAGCATAGTTTTTCAAATAGAGAGTATCTATCATAAAGATTTAAAATAGCGAGCACAATATTTTTGACAACTCCAATAGATTCTCTATTATAGAAAAAAAAATAATTGTATAGTCAATAACATTTAATAAATATCATTCATTAAAAATAGAATATACGGTGAGTTAGACTCTTCGAATGTAAAGAGTCATATAAAACTCTCTATTTTAACTAGTCTAAATAGAGAGTCTATTGGAATATAATTGGCGAAATTGAAAGGGGTACACCAAATTTGAGTTAATTGTAAAAAAGTATAGAAAAAAATGTAGAGTAAAAAAATTCTTAATTTTGATATTTATTTGTTTTCAAGTACATTATTTAAAATTTTCATATTTTCTTCTGACCTTTGTATCCTCCCTTGATCCATGCGTATTTTTTTTTTTTGGAAAGTAGTGTACTAAACATCTCATAGTTTTATGAGAGAACTTTAATATTCCGTTTTTTTATATTCTCCCTTGATTCATGCCTATTTTTTTTTTTTGAAAAATGATTTTATTTTCAAATTATATTTAATGCACCTTAATTCATGCATATTTTTTTTGAAAAGTGATTTTATTTTCAAATTATATTAATATCCGAATTCCATAACAGTATAACAATAACATTGTAACAAGACATTTATACTAAATATTATACTATTACATTTTATCAAACATATATTTTCATATAATTTCATTGAAAATAGTTCATCTTTGTTTTGAATTTGTTATCACATGCACAAAACTACTGAACACTGTTTTTGTTATAGTGTATTATTACAGTGTATTGTTATACTGTTTTTGTTACACTATTACTTAATGAATTTGTTACGTTTTTATACAGTGTAAATAATTTTATATTTCAAATTATTTAAAAAAATAATCAACAAATTTTGAAATTCAAACAAAGTGATATATCGTAAAGTAAACGAAATATTAAATTTCTCCTATAAAATTATGAGATGTTTAATGCATAAATATAATTTGAAAATAAAATCACTTTCCAAAAAAAAATACACATGAATCAAGGTGCATTAGAAATTTCAAATTAAATGACCATAAATTTCAGCGTTTAAGATAAATGTCTTGTTGTAGTTTTTAGGAAAGAAAGTTTTACAAAATAAGCATTTATGTCTTTATATCTCAGTGGTATACTTTTTTTTCAAATTATTTTGTTATGTGTACTTTTTTACAATTATGTCTAATTTGATATACCGACTTCCAAATGACCCAATATAATTTTGGTGGTTGACTCTCTAAAATAAAGAGCTGAGTGAGATTAGGGAGTTTTTTAGAGTTGCTCTAATTAGCTACTTGGGTCAGTCTAATCCGATCATTTAGTTGCTCTTTTTAAGAAATGATAACTTCAATAGAAAATATCATCTGAAAAAGCCTCATGTCTAAGTGGTCGACATACTAATAATGATATTTGTCGATATATCACCGTTTGTTTACTATAACTTATTAGATTTTGGCAATAAAACACTTGAATCTCATAAAAACTGGGACCTTCATTGATCAAGTTCATATACATGGGGTGATTGACAATTTTTTTCATACCATGGATTAAGTGAAGTGGTAATATGGTTGCTAATAACTTAGCTAGNCTGTTTACTAAAACTTATTAGATTTTGGCAATAAAACACTTGAATCTCATAAAAACTGGGACCTTCATTGATCAAGTTCATATACATGCGGTGATTGACAAATTTTTTCATACCATGGATTAAGTGAAGTGGTAATATGGTTGCTAATAACTTAGCTAGATTTGCTTCAAATTATAATGATCTTCTTGTACTCCATTTTCCAAGATGATTTGTTTGGCTAGCTATTAATATATCAATTTTGTTATTTTTTTAACAAAAAGAAAAAAAGACAACCTTTTACTATCTCTCAATCGAATGAGATTGAGAGACACAAAATATTAGTAACTGGAGTAAATGCTTACCTTTGATAAGTCTTAACCATCGTTCAAAGTATTGTCTGATATCGATACGAGTCGTATTTAACTTAACACCTTATAAGTCGACATTGTTCTACAATACGTATAAACTTCGAGTCTTGCACAACTCGATTTAAATCAGCCGAGTTGTATTCGATTCAATCCCAAGTCGCCAAGTTATTGTTATTCGAATAAGTTGATACCACAACATCAAAATATAACTTGAATCTCTCACCATACTNTCTTACCTTTGATAAGTCTTAACCATCGTTCAAAGGATTGTCTGATATCGATACGAGTCGTATCTAACTTAACACCTTATAAGTCGACATTGTTCTACAATACGTATAAACTTCAAGTCTTGCACAACTCGATTAAAATCAGCCGAGTTGTATTCGATTCAATCCCAAGTCGCCAAGTTATTGTTATTCGAATAAGTTGATACCACAACATCAAAATATAACTTGAATCTCTCACCATACTCAACATTTTTTTTAGATCGTATCGTTCGATACCACAACGTTGAAGCATGATCTTCACAAACAAGTTTTTCATTTTGTTTCAAAATTCATTAACACGTTTGGTATTTTTTTTTTATCAAAGGGTAAATTGCACCATTAATCCATGAGGTTTGCCATTTATTGTACTTTCATCCCCGAAGTTCTAATTTTGTCAATTTCATCCTTCATATTAACACATTGAAGTAATATGATCCTTAGTCCTAACTGTCGTCTAAATTATTGATGGAAAATAAGCACATGTTAGGCACATAACTTGCTATTAAGGGTACTTCTGTCATTATCCAATACACCCCTATATAAAAATATCTTTATTCCAAGTGTAGAAAACATTATGCATCTACCCAAACACACTTCTTCTTCCTCGTCAATTTTTGTTGTTTCTTTTCTCTCTATTACACAACAAACACTTAAAACAAAGCACATAGCAAATACACAGCACGCAATTCTCTCTTCCTAAACATTACACAAACACCAAGTTGTTCTCTCTCTCTTTCTAAACAACACACAACACAACCAACTGTTCTCTCTCTCTTTATCTCTCTCTTTCTATACAACACACATTGTTTCTATAACACAGGCAAGCAAAACAGAGTCACTACATAGAATCAAATAACTTTGCACCATCACCTCAATTAATTCAACCAATTCAAAACCCAAATAAACCACAAAAAAGTAGCAGGGCTGACTTTCTTTGTTCCAGGACTCAAAGGTGATACGCCGAAAAATACTCCGGCGTCCTTCTAACTTGACTTTCTTTGTTCCAGGAACCTTCCTTAGCCTTACTGGATCGTTCCATTGATCCACGAGGGTGTCTCATTATCGTTCCAGGTTACCACCGGACCTCGCAGGCTGTTCCAAGCAGCAGGGTTGACCATTCGACTGACTCACTCGAGTTCACCAAGAGAGAGATCTATTCTCGTGTTTATATTATGTAAGATTCAACACGCACAACTAACTTGAGTACGTATCTAAAATTATTAGATCTTGCATCCGAGGAACAATCTAACCCACCTTGTTAATCTCTAACACATTTTTAATTCAACTCATGTCACTTAGTATAACTTAGGTCCACCGTTCCTAAGCCCGCATATCAATTCACCTAGTGTTTGATGAAAAACTTGCACATACACTTTCCCTCACGTGGACTGTCTACGAACATAATATTATCCGTACATATGTAATTACATTTCATATAATTATGCAATCGATCACACCCTGAGCACGATAGCGCGACTACCCCTCTGCAGTCTTCAAGTTCAACCTTGGCTGTGCTTTTGATAAAACGTCAAGAGACCGAAGGTTTATAGCACACTACGCGGCGCGGCTTCTCTCTCTCTCTCTCTGTGAAAATGTCTCTGGTAAATCATCTTCTGTCGACCTCAATTTCTTCGTCAACCTCAGGTTTCCTAGGCCAAAACAAATTAAGCCTCAGGTAATTAATATCTCCATCCTCTATGCTTCAAGTTGCTGAGTGGAATGTAAAGAAAAAACAGAGAGAATTTGAATGTGAATTTTCCATGAACAGAGTGTACTGTTGCTGAAATAATCTTTTATTTTTCCTATGATGATGATTTTGATAATATACTTTTTCACTTGGGCAGAACCTGGAATCTTTCCGTTCCGGCGAAAAACAGTGGGATTTGTAGATGCATTGCGTCCCCTCCCCTAGAGAAGAATGGTATTACCGCCTTATACTGCTTTTTTCATCAAAATGCAAACTTTTAGCTATTTTTCGTTTGGTTCCCGAGAAATTCGAGGAAAATTTGAGAAATGGATTTTTTTTTTCTAGTTGGTAGTTCATGTCTAAAGTACTTATTATGTTGTGAACTGCTTGTGATTTACTTGATGTTTGGGAGATGTAGTGGAGAAAATATTTTATTATGGTATCTATACTAATACCAACATTTTTTGGTGCATTTTTAGTAGCTTATAAGACCAAGGTGTCCCGCAATGCAAACATGGCTAAACTTCAAGCTGGTTACCTCTTTCCTGAGGTTCGTCATGGCTCTTGCAATTTTTTTGTCCAATTATTTCCCCAAATTTTGTTTGCACAACTAGTGGGTTTGTGTTGTTTCCATGCTCAAGGGTTGGAAATTTGCTTCAAGTGGAAAGGCTATATCTTCTGCAGATCGTTTGTCACAGTCCCAGTCTTGACACTTCCAGTGACTCACTTCCACACATGTTTTTATGATATTGATTCACTTGTCAAAGTCACCTCTTGTTTTTCTTATTTCTTGTAACATCTTTTTTGGGTGAATGAATGATCTGAGGCCACTGTTATTTGAATAGAATACCTTCAACCGTAGTAGGAAAAAATTAGTAGAGTTGTTTTGGATGTCTTTTGTGAATTGAAGACAAATCCCTAGGCCCATTCCCCCACCCCCAACCCAACTAAAGAGGAAAACCTTTTGTTTGAAGAATGAATTGCGTATGGAGGCCTTAAGATGTCAAGAATGAGAACAGAGAAAATTTTGTGCAGCGTCTTCATTGAGAATTTAGGATTGGCCACCTTGTTACAGTACGTTGATTGATGGTTGTAGCCTTTGGTTTCAATTTCATACTCCCACCTTCCCCCATAATATAAAAATTGATTGCTGATTATCACTCTTCCTTGCTTGTATCAACAAGTTGAGTTTAATAGATTGTCTCATGTGAAATTAGGTTGGTAGAAGAAGAGAGGCTCACAAGTTGAAGTATCCTGATGAAAAAGTCATAAGCCTTGGAATTGGTGACACCACTGAGCCCATTCCAGAAATTATTACTTCTGCGATGGCAAAGGTAATGGTATTCATTTTGATGTGAAGTTCACTCATTCGTACTAGTATAGTTCGAATATCTTATGTTTTTGTTGAGTTATAAGAGATTGGGATATTTTATACTTGCTACCTTTATTTTATGTGTGTATATGTGCGTATACAGCTGTATATACTTTGTTAGTCTGCCTTTAGGCCATGGATTATTCCTCAATTCTTTTTTTTCTTTTTCCGCTTTATATCCCGACCCTATGATCTAAATCCTCATATGGTATTAGAGCTGATGAGCTTGGGTAACACTTAATTTCATTGATTTTGTAAGTAATGCCCCTTTTTGTCCGTACCATACTTAATTACTTATTATATATTGTGATTCTTCTATGTAACTCTTCACATTTGAGTGGGCTCATGTGTGGTGAGTATTAGAGCTTGTCCCACCTTGGTACAATATTATCTAATTCATTTAANCCGTACCATACTTAATTACTTATTATATATTGTGATTCTTCTATGTAACTCTTCACATTTGAGTGGGCTCACGTGTGGTGAGTATTAGAGCTTGTCCCACCTTGGTACAATATTATCTAATTCATTTAATGTGTCTGGTTGTTGTATATGGTATAATTGAATCCATTATATATCCATGAGAATTTGTATTTGTAGGGTTTTGAACTTAAACATGAATATATTCAACTTTTTAGGGGGGATGCAAATAGAAAATTTGCGGCCTCCGTCCTTCGGATTCGGTTACCACCACATGATGACTTTTATGTGTTGTTACCATCTAGTTAGATGTTGCCATCATTTAAAACCATTGTATATACCATGTGTTATAAGTGCTTGTTTTAAACTAAGGAAACACAGGAAGGTGTTTTGTATTTCAGATGCGTAATCATGTGAATTTCATAAGTACTTTTTTGAACAACGCATGTTCCTGTTAGTTTTTGGTTGAAATGATGGCCCACCCTTTTTTTTCAACTTGTTTAAACTATATGTAATATCCTTTTGTTTTCGCATTGGCAGAAATCATATGCACTGTCAACAATTGAGGGTTACAGTGGTTATGGAGCTGAACAAGGTGAAAAAGTATGTGGTATCTTTGACCCTTTATTAACTATTTACATTTATTTAGTTCGTGAAACATTTGCGATTTTTATGATGGTATATAACTTCGCACGCGTATTAGTATGACAACATTATCATGCCTTTGCCAATCATTTCTCTTCCCTCCTTTTCCTTCTCCCCTCTTTCTAATTTAGGGATTTTCCAATCACCTGAAACTTGATTCACTGTGTACTGACTGCAAAAGTAAATTTTTTGTGTTTAGCAATTGAGAAGTGCGATTGCCTCAACTTTTTATGCAAACCTTGGAATAGAGGCAGATGACGTATTTGTGTCGGATGGTGCAAAATGTGACATATCTCGCCTCCAGGTTTGGTTTCTCATATGTTGTTTTGATTTATTAATATACTATTGATTGTTCTTTTCATTTTTCTATTCTAGTTTAGTTGTATGCATCTGTATTTGTTGGGTGTTCTCTTATTTGAAACTAGCAAAATGTTATTGCATGGCCATTCCCATTGATTAATGTTATCAAGGTCACTTGACTTTTGTTTGTCTCCCCTATGTTGCAGGTCCTCTTTGGGTCAAATGTTACAATGGCAGTGCAAGACCCATCATACCCGGTAGATATCTCATACTTCTACCACAAACAAAGGAAAACAAAAACACACTTTAATAGTATTAACTTGTCATGTCTTTTATTATTCTTATTCATGTTCACATCTCATGTTTAAAGGTTGAGTTGATGTCATCATGTATGACTGTTGATTTTATTTTATTTTGCCTCTATCATGTTGTTTTATAATACAGGTGTTTCGATATATTCCTCGAGTTTTCCTTAAGTTTTCAATTTATCTCAAACGCTGATTCATTTAGGGTACGTTTTTATCTTATTGATAATTTTTCATAAAGCTTATGGCCACATATGTTCCTCTCAATGACCATGTTGTATATTAGGCAAATGATGATCCTTCAGTGCATATGTACCCCTTTCCCTTTTCTCCTTTCCTTCTACAGGTGTGCAAATAAAAGTGGTCATTTTGTTGGGTATATTTGGGAAGAGTGTGTTCATCTGAGAATTTTACTGATTAATTGGCAATATGGTGATGTTTTCAACTATATACACAAAAATTATTGGCCTTGGGAAAAGGCTCCCAGTAGCAGGAGTAGTGGATCAAGCCCTTACTACCTAAGATCTGATGGAAATCTTGTCTAATTGGACACTCTATGGGTCCTGATTTGGGGTGTCTTTGATACACATCAACTAGCTAGATTGTAGCTAATTAAATGGGGGAGAAATGTTTTCTATAGTGGATCTCTTGTTAGCTCATGTGTGCATGGTAGGGTGGATGGGATGGTTGTATGGTAAAAAATTTTATGTAGAAAACCTATTAATTGAGTGTGCAAAAAGAGCAATGAAAAAGATGATGATAATCAAAGAACAGGGACGAAATGTAGTGTCTACTTTGGAAAGCTTTTACATCTTGTATGGTACTTTTTTTTGGTGCTCGGGAAATGTTTGATTTTTGCTTATTATCTCAGGCTTATGTGGACTCGAGTGTTATTATGGGTCAGACTGGCCAGTTTCGGACTGGAGTTGAGAAGTATGAAAATATTGAATACATGAAGTGTACTCCAGAGAATGGTTTCTTTCCTGATTTATCCACTGTTTCTCCTACAAACATCATATTTTTTTGTTCACCCAACAATCCTACCGGTTCTGCTGCATCGAGGGAACAACTGACAAAATTGGTACAGTTTGCCAAGGACAATGGGTCAATCATCATCTATGATTCTGCTTATGCTTTGTATATGTCAGATGATAACCCACGATCCATCTTTGAAATTCCTGGAGCCAAAGAGGTAAGCCTTGAATTCATATTCAATATTCTTTCCACCAGGCTTGGGACCTTTGGGTTCTTTGCTTTGTTCCTCCTGTCTTTAGTTGTTAATAATTCACACCCGTGGTTGGGAACAGGAGCTACAGTTTATCCTTGAACATAGCTAGTCTCATGGAAAATCATGATTTGTTTTGTACAGGATTCTATGCGTTTTTTCCCTTTGGAGAAATTTCTTTCGCGTATATTCCACCATTGAAAAGATAAGATTGATATGGTAACGGTCTAGATTTAGGTAAACTTAAGTCTAGAAGATCTGTTGGGTGGATGGGCAGAGAAAAGTCTGGGCTCAGGTTTTGTGGCAGTGTTCACATCTAGATAGGCATAACATCTTGGTCTACATATGGGTATTGCAGGTTGCAATTGAAACTTCATCATATTCCAAGTATGCTGGGTTCACAGGAGTTCGTCTAGGTTGGACTGTGGTCCCAAAAGAACTCCTATTTTCTGATGGATTTCCAGTTGCAAAGGACTTCAACCGCATTGTTTGTACTTGTTTCAATGGTGCATCTAACATTGCCCAAGCGGGTGGTCTGGCATGCCTTTCACCAGAAGGCCTCAAGGTCAGTTCCTTGGTCTTGGTTTCTCCACTTAGTAGCCATGATGGATGAAAAATTAGGAAACTATGATGTACAATTAGTTTTTGTTAGAATTCCAATTTTTTCCAGTCTTGGCAATTAGATTGAACATCATTTTATAACAAAAATTATGATTTAAAATTAGTTTTGTTAAAAGTCTATTTTTTTCCCCATCTTGGCAATTAGATAAAACAACATATTATAGCAGTCCAGTTTATATTTATTTCTGGATCTCTACTTTATGCAGGCTATGCAAGAGGTGGTTGGTTTCTACAGAGAAAATACCAATATTATCGTGGAGACATTTAATTCGCTTGGTTTTAAAGTTTATGGGGGGAAAAATGCACCATATGTGTGGGTGCACTTTCCTGGCCAAAGCTCATGGGACGTGTTTGGTGAGATTCTTGAGAAGACCCATGTGGTTACTACTCCTGGCAGCGGGTTTGGACCTGGTGGTGAAGGTTTCATTCGAGTTAGCGCCTTTGGCCATAGGAATAATGTGTTGGAAGCATGCCAAAGATTCAAGCAGTTGTACAAGTGAAAGAATAATGTCACCTGTATCCATCACAGTCTATGCTTTCCTAGCCAAAGGGCTTAGTAATTCTGCATGTTTTGGTCTTGTAGGATCTTATCAGGCCCCATAAATAATGGGTGGCACATTAGCTTCATTGAAGCTTCTATTTTTAAGGAATTTAAAGCATTCTATCAGGTAATGGTTATTGATTTTGAGTTTGGAGAGCTGGAAACAGTAATGCTTGTTTTTAGACATTGTGGAGAAATATAATTAGGGGTGTTAATTGAGGTGAATTACTTAGATTTCAGCTCGAGCTTGACTCTTGTTCTAAACGAGTTGAGTTTGAACAATCGAGCCTAAAATACTCTGCTCGTTTATATGTAAAATAGTCGAGATACTCAGACTCTAAACGAGTTGAGTTTAAATTTTTTTTTAGGTTCGTTTAAAAAAATAAGCTTGTAAGGTTTGGGTTTAAGTTTGTAAAATTCGACTTAGTTAACATTCATATATACGACTCGAAAAGGGCAAAAATTTAGATAATGATATTGCTCATTGAGCCACTTGTTTTATTAGTTTAACTCTACGACATTGTGCACTACGACATAGTAATCAAGTCATTGTCTAGCAACAAGTTACATGATAGGATTAACTTATTCTAAGTTGCGAGAGTTTTATTTTGAACGTGAAAGATTTAAGAATTTTTATTTCGTACGCTTAAAGATTAAATTTTTTACATTATAACTTTAATGTATTAAAAGTGTTGTAATCTGATTTTTCTTTTAAATTTTGTTATTTTTTCCATCAATATTAATGAGGAGGTTTTGATGAAAAAAACAACAAATAACAAAACGATCACATTATAATATTTTGAGAGTATAATGTAAAAATTTTTATCTTTAAAAATACAAAGTAAAAATTCTTAAATCTTTCAAAATACAAAGTACAATTTGAATATTCTACGTTATCTACATTATGTTATCATGAGTGAAAAAAGCATGAAGTGAAAAAAATTCTTTTACAAATTGAAAAAATGAATAGTGTACATAATGGAGATTATGTCAGCCACCAAGAACAAACCCTAGCAATCTAAAAATAAAGCCAATGCTCCACAATGTCTTTCCGAGCTAAAGCTGGTACCCAACCCTACTTTTTTAACATGGGAAGGTGTACAATCAATCCATTATAGTTTCTCTCTAATGTATAGTCCACATAGAACAAAGTTTCCAAACAAAAAAAAGAAAACAAAAAGGACGAATTTCGTGTTCATGGACTCAATTCGCCGGAGGAGCTCTGTAGTATGCTGGAACGGTTGCAGGGAAGAACATCTGTCGGACTCCTTCAGCCTTTATAATGGGAAAAATGATACTTGATGCATCCTAAAAAAGCATAAACATGGAAAAGGAAAGATCAAAATGACAGAGATTAAATAATAGTCGTTATACTTATCATAAGACGAGTAAAAAAAACTAAAAATACTAAAATTAAATTCCTATATTTGGAGATATGGAGTTCCATACAGAAATCAATCTTGCACCAATCCATGCACGATTAGGTGAGGGAAACGGAAGTAAAAGGCTGCCAACCCCATAGATAGCCACAGCGAAAAAATGGAGCACCAAGCTAAGTGGTCGCGGATTCAAACCAGAAAGCAGAGCAATGGGTCCATTTGAAAACATGCCTCCAAGACTAAGATACTCAAAACATGCTTGGCGCAATTCTATCCTTGCTCGATCTGGTGAAGCACTGAACACCTTGTATAGGGCTCCCGCCAATGTATTTATTGTGGATGACACCGGCTGCAAACAAAATGATGCAAGTTTGTTGGTGATGCTTCAATCTAAATTTGAATTTAGCTTTTTTTGCTCTAATGCTTGATTTCTTTAACATGCCTTCATTCAACTTCATATTAAACTCCCATGTTATGAAAATGCTTGTTCTCATTTGATGAACAGTACTAAAAAACCTCCATAAGTAACAGATATGATGATTGAAGGCTTTCCACATCAAAGTCAAAGCAAATCACATAACATGAACTAGTACACAATAATGCTACTCACCTTACGCAACGTGTAAAAAGATTCAAGATACTTGCACAAAGCATATGCATCGTTCAAGTTTCTTAGATTTCTAAGAAGATCCCGAAGCACAACAATATCAGATAAAGCAACTGTCATTCCTCCTCCGGTTAAAGGATGCCTCATGTTGAAGGCGTCCCCCAGTAAAAGTGCACCTGGAGTGGGATGAGGAGCAGCTGGCATGCTTCTGTTTGGCATTGATCTTATGTTTCCTTCATCAATTGCTGACATGAAGGTATTATACAGCTCGCGAGGCATCTGAAATGTGAAAAATCTCTTATCAGGCCAAAATTTAAATTGAAATGCATAGAATTTTTAACCATTGGCCTATCAGACGGAGAGTCAAAATGGAGGAATTGATGTGAAAAGATGGCAGGATATGATGGATTAATTGAACATGTATTTGACCATCATGCAAAGCAAACAAAGTCCCATGACAAAAAAACAAAGTAGACTTACATCTATATAAGAGACTGGATATACATGATTAGAGAGGGAAGTTGAGACAAACGCAGATATGTACATTGAAGAAGTTGAATTTGTTTAATGCTTACATTGCTCTTTAAATACTCCTTATGCACTCTACTGTGACATCAAAATAAGTGTCTAAAAACCAAAGTAGGCACGTTACATATACCTGAGGTGCAACCATGGTCTTCAAATAAGAGGACATTTCACCACTCGAAATGGAAGGCAACTTCTGACCAGGTATGTCTACTAAACAGCGAACCTCAGTACTGCTGATTTTATATAGCAAGATTGGTGAAGGATTTGCTAAAATAACATGTCCATGATTTGGGTAGGGAAGGTCGCAATTCTTTAGGATCAGCGCAACAAAACAAGAGGGAATGTCTACCTGCAAAATCAAAATGACATTGTTTTTCTCATCATCTGACAAAATAAATGAAAAGTACACATGCTATAATTCAAAATTGATTTTCAAACGTATCTCCAGAGAGCATGAAAAAAATTACACACTCAAGTTAAGGTAGCCTATTCACCTTGGGCTTGCATAGAGAGCGTCGCAAATTTGAGAAGCAACCGTCACATACAATTGTGAGAGGAGCAAATGCTCTCAAATCCTGACCATTTGTTGTCTTGTATTTCACTCCTTTTACAGTACCCTCTTCTTCAATTAGAGATGTCACTGTTCCTTGTTCCAATCTCACACTGAATAACATATTATGGCAGGGTCATTAGGAAGCAATACAAAAAAACTATTAATTTTTCACTTATATGAATGGCTTAAAATTTGGAGGCTTTAAGTGGATAAGGTACTAAGGAAGTGCTCTAGAAAGGAAACAAAACTATATAATTGTGCTAGAACTAAGTAATGTTACACAGTAAGATGACCGGGAAAACGACTTGTCTCCAGACTCTTACAGTTCCTCTGAAACCTCGACTCTCCACCAACAGCCTCGTGTCTAGACATTCGAAATCAAATTCCAAAAAAAATTCAAAATGAATGCTTGTGTTACAGAATAATGCACAGATAATTGTTTTTACCTAGCAGTGTGCAATTTCTCAATCACATAAGAAACCATAATTAACATCTATAACAACTGCTGCATAGGAGTAATAGGACGGTGCTGTGAGCATCAGAGAGAAAAATACTTGGGAAATGTTGCAGCCTTCTCCCGCATCCGTTGTATGAAGCGTCCATTGTGAAAGCTTCTACCAGATATGTCCAAGGAGAGTCCTTTCAAGGGGTAAGACAGTCTAGTACTTTTTCCATCTTTGAATAAAGCGTATCCAAACACTCGTTGAGCATCAATCCCATCAACACAATCTGCAGCAAATTAATTGCTTTACATACTAGAATCAACACTTTAATGCAAGAGCAATACAAAATATTTTTGAATTGCAACCAATTTATCTTGCAAAAGATAATATGGAGTATATGCATACACCACAACTATATAAAGTTCAGAGGCATTGTTATTAAGGGAAATATTTTCTGATCAACAATGCTCCTTACCCTCAAGACCCAACTCAATTAGTTTAAGATAGCCTCCTGGTTGAAGCAATTCACCAACTATTCTATCTTGCTCACTTAAGTCTCTTTCAATGACAAGGACTCGGCGCCCATCCTGTAAAAATCAGGAAGAAATAAGGTGCTATAGGAGAACAAAATCAACAAAAATATAAAATTTAAACACAGAGTTTAGTCCCCATTAAGTGGATCTCGAATGATATAAACCATTCCAACAAAAAAATTTGTGGTGTCTTAACAAATTTTGTTGGTCTGCTTTCTACAAATCCTTAAGCTTGATCTTGAATTGATGGGTCTAATGGCGATATCACCATTGACTTAGCAGACGAATCAGGAAAGTTTATAACCCAGACCATGAGATATTTCTTTTTCATAAATACGCTAGATCTGGTGTAAATGACCTACCTTTGATAAAATAAGCTGGTCCGCACGGTAGAAAGCAATAAGGGAAGGAATAAGGTAACACCCCTAAACTAGGAAAAAAAATATGACCCTTTGTACACCAAACACATCAAAGCTTCTTGAAAATTGATTCTAAAGTCAATAGTTGCTAATACCAAAGACTCGTGACACATGGGTATCATAGGATAACTCAATCTAATGAAATTACAATAAAATAGAGTTGTTTAGGATCACATCTAACCCTCTTACAGAATTATTTACTGGCAATATTATTCATGTTGATTTCACATCAATGAAGTATTAGATTGATCTATGATTCAGAACTATAGGGTAATCCCCAATTTACAAAAACAAAGACAATTCAGGGATGGCAAATGAACTGAGCCATATAAATTTTAGTGGTAGAGAGACTACCTTGGCAAGAGTGCAAGCGAGAGCAGAGCCTGCAACGCCGGCGCCGACGATGATGATCTCTGGGTCGCCTCCGGTCTCCGGCCGGCATTCACAATTTTCAGAATTCTTGACAGATTCGCTTCTTCGTGTTTCCATTGAACCTCTATTGCTCTCTCTCTTTATTTTCAAACTACTTTTGTAAAACCCAACAAAACCCAACAAACACATAAAGATTCCCCCAAGAATACAGAGAGAAATCATATCCAAATCCATGAAAAATGCCATGGTCTTATTCTTTTCTCTCTCTCTGTAATGCTTTGTATTTATCTGGGTTGGAATGAATATTACAACCCAGACAACCCTTTTATAGGCTTGACACAAGAGCTTAAAACCTTGACAAAGAAATTGTCAAGCAACAAAAGAATCAATCACTCCATGGTTGTGGCGCAATAAACAAGAGCTTTTGTCTCCAGTTTTGAATGTCATTGGAAATGGACAGTAGAGGGCCAGTCCACAGTTTTGAAAGGCCAATGGAAATGGACAGAAGAGGATAAAGAAATGAATTTGTGTAAAAAGTACAAAACTTTTGCATAAATATAAAACTTACAAGTTCTATGATGCTACTAAACAAATTTCAGAATAAACCCACCTCGTTTTTGGAACTAAAACATGGACATTAGTGCAGCGACCTGCAGCCTCGGAGGTTTTTACCGGTCTTGTTAACAGCTGGCATAACAGATTCTAAAGATTCTCCTGAATGAAAATTAATTGGGCAAATTACATTGATAGTCCCTTAAGTATGCAATGTCTTTCATTTTAGTCCTCGTTCTTTTCAACTGGAGTACTTTAGTTTTTTTTAAATTTTAATTGGCGTAACTTTGGTCTAATTGAAATATAATTTAAACTAACTAATAAAGGGTTTTTCGCACTTTGTCCTCTAAAAGATATCAACTTTTTTATTTTACACTCTTAAAGAATAAATTTTTGACATTCCATTATCAATGAATCAAAAGTGTTGGAACGTGACACTTCTATTATACTTTTCATTAAAAGTCAACTCATTGATACTGAAAAAAAACTAACGAAAAGTTAATAGAAGGACCACATTATAACAATTTTAATATATTAGGAATGTAATGTGAAAAATTTAATATTTGAAAGTTTAAAATGAGAAACTTACAATATTTCAAGGTATAAAGTGTAATTCTTCTTTTTATTAAACCAAAGTAACACAAAAGGAAATCTTACGAAATTAAAATGAAATAATTAAAAGAAAGAGGATCAAAGTGAAACAAAGGGAATGGTTGAGGCATTATTATTCTATTTTATCCAAATTTATTTTAGGTTTGGCAATAGATTATGTCAATTGGGGTTCCTACAATTTGGAGACTTGGGTCCCTTAAAAGTAAGTTCAAGTGGCGCCAAATGGTCACTTCAAATTTGAAGCATCTGTGATGTCCACCTCTCTAACTTTGAGTTGACTCAACTGTCCTCCACCCAAACTTATAACTTTTTTACTTTTCCCTTTGTAATCAACCTTTGCCTATGAAATTAGAAGTTTTCTGATAAAAAAAAATATATTATTTTGTGTGCAAGTTTGGCAAATACTTGAGCTGTTACTGATAANTTGTCCTCCACCCAAACTTATAACTTTTTTACTTTTCCCTTGTAATCAACCTTTGCCTATGAAATTAGAAGTTTTCGGATAAAAAAAAATATATTATTTTGTGTGCAAGTTTGGCAAATACTTGAGCTGTTACTGATAAAAGTTAATTACACTTGACATCCTTAAAATTTACCCCTATTCTCATCTTAGTCCCTAATCAAAGGGCTAAATAGAATTGGAAATAATCATTACCTTAATTTTGGACACTGGCAAAATCAAGCATCTTTGGGGTTGTCTCCCTTTGCACCTGAAAAGATTTAAGATTTTTTTTCTTGCATACTTATAGATTAAATTTTGTACATTATATTTTCAATATATTAAAAGAATTACAATGTTACCCTTCTGTTAGTTTCCATGACTTATTTTGTTAAAAGCCATTCTATTAATTCCGACAGAATTAGTAACAAAAACTAACGAAAGAGTCACATTAAAACACTTTTAATATATTAAGAATGTAATGTAAGAAATCNACCTATTCTCATCTTAGTCCCTAATCAAAGGGCTAAATAGAATTGGAAATAATCATTACCTTAATTTTGGACACCGGCAAAATCAAGCATCTTTGGGGTTGTCTCCCTTAGCACCCGAAAAGATTTAAGATTTTTTTTCTTGCATACTTATAGATTAAATTTTTTACATTATATTCTCAATATATTAAAAGTATTACAATGTTACCCTTCTGTTAGTTTCCATGACTTATTTTGTTAAAAGTCATTCTATTAATTCCGACAGAATTAGTAACAAAAACCAACGAAAGAGTCACATTAAAACACTTTTAATATATTAAGAATGTAATGTAAGAAATCCAATCTTTGAAGATTCAAAGTTGCAAACATATGGCATATGAACAAGAAAGCATGTTATAGAATAAAAGAAATTTTACTTTCTTTAAATAAGTTTAAAGTACAAAGTTCAAAGGGAAAGCAATTCCCACTTTAGGAGCAAAAATCTATCAACATTAATTACAATTCATGCCCCCACCGCATTCTCTCTTTATTTATAACCCACCCTAATTCTTTAACAGGGGAGGTCAGCTGCTGATACAAACCTTTTTTTCTCACTCTTGATTAACGGAAAAAAAAATATTCATGCCACTATTCTTATTANCAGCAATTCCCACTTTAGGAGCAAAAATCTATCAACATTAATTACAATTAATGCCCCCACCGCATTCTCTCTTTAATTATAACCCACCCTAATTCTTTAACAGGGGAGGTCAGCTGCTGATACAAACCTTTTTTTTCTCACTCTTGATTAACGGAAAAAAAAATATTCATGCCACTATTCTTATTAATTGAGAAAAATAATGTTTATTCACTGTTCTAACCAAGAATGCCAGCTCTGTGGTATGCTGGAACAGTCAGAGGGAAGAACATTTGCCTAACTCCTTCAGCCTTGATGATTGGGAAAATGATCCCAGATGCACCCTGAAACAAATAATTAATCAGAGTTTAAGTCTTGTGCAATATAAAAGTCAAACAGAAATCAGAAGAAAATGTTCGAAACGAGTTCTGTGAATTCAATTCACTGCAAAAAGATTGGGACACTTACTGATATCAATCTTGCCCCTAGCCAAACTCGTTGGGGCGATGGAAAAGGAATCAACAAGCGCCCAACACCATAGACAGCAACAGCAAAGAAATGGCAGACCAGGCTAAGGGGNGTTAAGTCTTGTGCAATATAAAAATCAAACAGAAATCACAAGAAAATGTTCGAAACGAGTTCTGTGAATTCAATTTACTGCAAAAAGATTGGGACACTTACTGATATCAATCTTGCCCCTAGCCAAACTCGTTGGGGCGATGGAAAAGGAATCAGCAAGCGCCCAACACCATAGACAGCAACAGCAAAGAAATGGCAGACCAGGCTAAGGGGGCGCGGGTTAAGACCAGAAAGTAAGGCCACTGGTCCAGTTGAACAAATCCCTCCAAGGCTTAGGTAATTGAAACACGCTTCGCGCATTTCTTTTCTAGCTTGGTCAGGTGATGCACAAAAAACCTTGTAAAGGGCTCCTGCCAATGTGTTTATTGTAGATGCCACGGGCTGCAAGAAGAACGATCATGCTTAATAAACAAGCTGCAACATTGTCACCTAGGATGTAAATGTGAACACCGAAAACTCACCTTACGAAGAGTGTAAAAGGATTCGAGATATNCAACGAACATGCTTAATAAACAAGCTGCAACATTGTCACCTAGGATGTAAATGTGAACACTGAAAACTCACCTTACGAAGAGTGTAAAAGGATTCGAGATATTTGCATAGGGAAGGTGCATCATTCAGATCATGTAGAGGTCTAAGAAGATCACGGAGGAGGACAATATCCGATAGAGCCACTGTCATTCCTCCTCCAGTTAAAGGATGTCGCATGTTGAAAGCATCCCCCAAGAGAAGTGCACCAGGAGTGGGATGGGGAGCTGCAGGCATGCTTCTGTTTGGCATTGTTCTTATGCTTCCTTTGTCAATTGCTGCTACGAAGGCATTATATAGCTCAGGAGGGATCTGGATGCATACATTTTTTTCATCAGATCAAATTCAGCACATTTTTTTCAGAAATTATCAATTCAAAACATAAAACAAAACTAGCAAGTGATGGCAAACTAAGGATACCTGAGGAGCCACCACAGTCTTCAGATAGTGAGCCATTTCACCATTAGAAATGGAGGGGACCTTTTGCCCAGGTACATCAACCAGACAGCGAATCTCAGTACTACTGATTTTGTAAAACAAGATGGGTGAAGGGTCCGCGAGAACAACGTGCCCATGATTTATGTATGGAAGATTACACTTTTCCAAGATCAAGCCAACGAAACAAGAAGGCACTTCCACCTGTGAAATGTAACAAACCAAGTTTACTTAAGTGCAAAGGAAAATGTAATAGTCAATGTGCTAAAATGTAGACCAATTAACTATGCCAAGCTTAAGATATGATATTAACCTGGGGTTTGCACAGAGTGCGTCGCAAATTTGAAAAGCAACCATCGCACACAATTGTGAGAGGAGCATATGCTGTCATTTCTTCCCCATCCTTGGTTTTGTACTGCACCCCTTTGATAGTTCCCTTTTCTTCAAGCAAAGATGTTACCGTTCCTTGTTCCAATCTTACGCTGAACAGAAAACAAATATAAGGTAAATGGATTGAAAATGGAAAGAAACTCACCCTTTTAATGTAATGAACTTTGCATTAGGTACCATTAAGCGGCTAAAAGATCAAACATAGGATTAAAATTGCTCTGTTTTAAAATTATGTCAACTGTACCATCAAAGTAGCCTTAAAGAGGGAAAGTGGTTTACACTACCAGTGCATCAAAATTCAAATTATAACATTGTTCAACAACCCAAAATTTCTATTGAAAATACATGAAGTTGCAAGTTTAGTCCAATTTCCTCAATCAAAAAGTCGAAACTGATATCATATCAAAGCCAATATGGTGAATTTCTTATATAATAACATGGGAGCTGAGACTAGACCAAAGCATTAAGTGAAAAAACATCTTAGAAGACAAAGAAACAATACTTTGGAAGAGTTGCAGCTTTCTCTCGCATACGCTGTATAAAACGCCCATTGTGAAAGCTCCTTCCTGAGACATCAGCATCAAATTTCTCTAAGGGATAAGACAATTTGGTATCTTTACCATCCTTATAGAGGGCATATCCAAACACTTGTTGAGCATCAATCCCTCTTACACAATCTGCAGCCAAATATAAATAATTTTCATGTCACCACTACTGTCATAATTCTTGAAGTAAGCAGAATAAAACCATTGATTGATACCAACTAGTTTCGGTGTCAAAACAGCAACTATTACTGCAGTAATTCAAAGTTTTCAGTGCACAAAGGTACTAAGATAGGTTGTAAGAAAGGATCAAAATTTTGTTTTGGTATATTATTTTGGTCATCTACGAAACAAAAACTTTTTTAAAATATTTTAGAAACAAAACGAAAATGGATAAAAAAAATTGGGAATTTGTTTCCGAAACATCTCTTATCGTTGGTTGAAATAAAATATTTTAAAACACTTCAAAACATTAGAATTTCAATAGAAATTTGTTTGGACCATTTTGAAACAAATGTATTATTAAGGAATATTTGTTGTTGTACACATACCCTCAAGACCCAACTCAATTAACTTCAAATAGCCTCCTGGTTGTAAAAGTTCACCCACAATTCTATCCGGTTCAGTCAAGTCTCGTTCAATTACTTGTACTCGCCGCCCTTCCTGCAATTTGCAGCAGCAAACAAGGTTGTTGCTTAAAATTAATAATCAAAAATATCAGAGGAAACTTCAGATATAAATTGATGATAAGCAAAGTGGTATAACTGGCTTTGAAATGGCTAAAAAATAATTGAAGCTTGCTTATTTGAAAAAATTTAAGCTTACGGTGACAGCTAAAAAGTTGTCGAGGTTCTACATCAGGAAGGAATATATCTTCTGTCTGATTGTTTCGGCTAAGGTTCATCTTCTGCCTCCGAATAATGTTTATCCTTATTTTCAGCCATGAAGACCGCAAGGTTACTTGAATGGTGGGTAGCTTGGTACGTGTGGTATAGGTATCGGTAAGATACTCTTTTAAGTATACGATATGATGGAGTATATTTAATTAGGATAGTATTTTGAGTTACCATTCGTTTTGAAATATAATTTTTCCTATTATATAATATTATATATTATAGAACATCTATAAATATTAAATCAATTTTCATTTGTGCTCTATTTTCTGTTATTTAAAATAATAGATAAGGATAAATTTGTGCTCGATTTTCTATTATTTAAAATAATAGATAAGTATACATCTATATATATACTCAATTAATGTATATNGTATTTTGAGTTACCATTCGTTTTGAAATATAATTTTTCCTATTATATATTATTATATATTATAGAACATCTATAAATATTAAATCAGTTTTCATTTGTGCTCTATTTTCTGTTATTTAAAATAATAGATAAGGATAAATTTGTGCTCGATTTTTTATTATTTAAAATAATAGATAAGTATACATCTATATATATACTCAATTAATGTATATTTTATATTTGTGAGAGATGTTCCAAAACAAATTGATTTAATAATAGTATTATAATTTCGGGTCATACATTTTGATAATCTAGATCGTAAATTCACCCTGGGATTAGTGCCTCCAGATCGTGAATCGTCCAAAAAATTTAATGAATTTTGATAACTATGGTATGTGGTACTATATTAAACTACATATCAACTAAGGAGGATATAGCATAAGTTTTTAAAGGGAAAAAAAAAAAAGGAGAAATATGACTCCAAAACTTTGAACAAGTTATTATGGCAGTTGTCAATNTTAGGGATTAGTGCCCCAGATCGTGAATCGTCCAAAAAATTTGATGAATTTTGGTAACTATGGTATGTGGTACTATATTAAACTACATATCAACTAAGGAGGATATAGCATAAGTTTTTAAAGGGAAAAAAAAAAGGAGAAATATGACTCCAAAACTTTGAACAAGTTATTATGGCAGTTGTCAATATCTTAGCTGTTCAAGAAAGAAAGCCAACTTCACTAAGATAAATGAAATATCTTAAAAGCAATTGATATCTCAGTATCTATCAGTCACTAGCCAGAAAAATTAAATGAATCCTTTAGATAAAAAAATCCTGTACAAGTCAATTAGAAAATAAAAGAAAAAGACCAACATGAGAATTTAGAAGGAAAAAAAAAAAAAAAGGAATCCAAAGAAGACACAGAACAATAGGAAAAAAGGGAAACCAAAAAAAAAAAAAAAATACCCATATAAACCTCATGACACCTTCCATCTATTATATTAAGAAGTGTGTGTTTGCCTCTCTCTGTTATGTCTTTCAAATCATGATAACTTGAAAAATAAGTTAAAAATCATGAAATAAAAACTAAAAAAAATTAATTACGATAATTTGAAAATTGATTCTTATTGGATAATCCATGATTGATTCATTTCCATCGAACAAGGTAAGAGTTTTAATTGAGCCAAATTTTACAAGTTTGAATCTGACTCTATCGATCTCATTTTTTTAAATAAATTTAAAAAATTATTCTAACTCAACTTCTTTAAAACTCAAACTTTTGCCGAACTCAAGCCACGACTAATTCAACTATTTTATATATAAACGGACTAATTCAACTATTTTATATATAAACGGTCGAATTCATAATGCTCGAACCTAAAAAATTGTTGGATTAACACCTCGTGGCGCTATAATGAATAAATTACCNCTTTAAAACTCAAACTTTTGCCGAACTCGAGCCACGACTAATTCAACTATTTTATATATAAACGGTCAAATTCATAAAGGTCGAACCTAAAAAATTGTTGGATTAACACCTCGTGGCGCTATAATGAATAAATTACCTTGCCAAGAGTGTAAGCGAGAGCAGAACCGGCAACACCCGCACCGACAATGATGATGTCCGTACTTCCGTTAATCTCCGGCCGGCAATGACCGTAGTCAGAGCTCTCAACCTGTTCATCCCTTCGCGCCTCCATTGAAGAAACTCTACTCTTCTTTTTCACCATTCTTGAACTGTACAACAAAACGAACCCCAACACAAAGGCAATGAGTCCTCCAAGAAAGTNCACTTCCGTTAATCTCCGGCCGGCGATGACCGTAGTCAGAGCTCTCAACCTGTTCATCCCTTCGCGCCTCCATTGAAGAAACTCTACTCTTCTTTTTCACCATTTTTGAACTGTACAACAAAACGAACCCCAACACAAAGGCAATGAGTCCTCCAAGAAAGTACTGATCTGTTATCATCATGTTCTTTAGTTCTGTGAAAGAATAGGAAGATGATTGTGATGATGAATTCGGCATGATTGGTATGGTATCTCTCCCTAACTTTCCCTCTCTCTCTCTCTCTCTAATTTTCTCTCTCTAGAATGCTTTTTGTGTGAGTTTGTTTGAGTGAAGGGGTTCAACCAAATATGGCGCCATTTATAGGCAAATCAATCAAAGAGGCTTAACGGCTTGGCTAATGGGCCGATTCCATGAAACGTGTGGGCGCCAACAACTATTTTTTTCCCTCCATTTGTTAGCATTCCACAAGGAAGTTAAGCATTATTAGAAAAAAAAAGAAGAGATTTTCGCACTTTATACCCTAAAAAATTTTAAGATTTTTATTTTATACCCTTAAAATTAAAATTTTTATATTATACGTTTAATATATCAAAAGTATTGCAATGTAACTTTTCTGTTAACTTTCGTTATTTTTTTCATTGAAAGTCATCCCATTAATACTGATGAAAAAACTAGCAAAAAGCTAATTACATAAATGNGAAGAGATTTTCGCACTTTATACCCTAAAAAATTTTAAGATTTCTATTTTATACCCTTAAAATTAAAATTTTTATATTATACGTTTAATATATTAAAAGTATTGCAATGTAACTTTTCTGTTAACTTTCGTTATTTTTTTCATCGAAAGTCATCCCATTAATACTGATGAAAAAACTAGCAAAAAGCTAATTACATAAATGCCACATTATAATATTCTTAATACATTAATAATACAAATGTAAAAAATTTAATCTTTGAGAGTACAAAATAAGAATGTTAAAATTTTTTAGAGTACAAAATGTAATTTACCCCAATAAAAAATAAGACAAAATTATACTATACCCCCTCATAATTTATTTGTATTGTAGATTGTTCCTCGTAGTGTTTCAAACAATTTCCTCTAGATAACGGGGTTGGGTCACTTTTTGGGCTCATGAGTAGGATTTGGATATTAATTATATCCAAAATTTAAAATTTTACCGTAATTGTTGGATTAAGGGAGTAAATTAGGTTAGAGACGCGAGAGAGGGAGAGAGAGAGAGAGAGGTGGAAGTTTGGAGAAGCTCATGGTCCAGCAACACGATAAAAGTGGAGATGTGGCAATAAAGTAGTGGTCCAGCCAGTCATGAATGTAAGGGATTGCGGGGTGGGTCATAGACCAAATGGGGTCCTCAAATTCAACAAATTCCTTTCTCAGATTTTTATTTTTTTTTTCTAGTTATGTGCTATAAAACTAGGTTAAAACACTTTAAAAAAATAAGTAATAATTTGCAAATTAAAAGGCATATATTTTTTTTCTATTATCCATCGTAATGAATTCGTGTGTAGAGTTAACAATCGAACCATTTCGAACCGAACCTAAAAAAGTTATTCTCTACAAAATAATTTTCTAAGTCCAAAAAAATCTTCTCCCAGTATGATTACCAATAAACTAAATACTAAAATGGTTTAACGTACGATGAAGATGTTAACATGAAATACAAGTGTATGAGCACATTACATATACAAGATCAAGTCAGCTCTATAAGTACGACTTTTTTAATCTACACATTTTCAAGAAACCTTAGTCTTTTTCTTTTACGTTAATCTGTGGGCTATATGTTGTGACTTTGACTGCATTAATTTGTACGGTTTTGAAAAAATTAGCTAAAGTCAATGATTCAAATAATTGATAAGATCTAGGGAAGTTATAAAAAAAAAAAAAATTAATAAGAGATACTAACTTATTGCGGTTGTCTACGGTACCAGAAAAAAAAAATTGATATTGTATCGACTTTTATAATATTTATGAGTATTTTTATTACTGTTATAATATTAAAAAAAATGATAAAAATAGTTATCACAACAATAATAAAAATACTCACAAAATGATGTAAATCACCCATAAAAATTATAAAAAAAATTGTATCGAAAAAAAATGGTAAAAATAATTGCCATAATAGTGGTAAAAACACCCACAACAGTGTTAAAATCATCAACAAATATGATAAATTACCAATAAAAATTATAAAAACATTAATTAAAATAATAAAATTTAGAGATACCATATCGAAAATTTTTCTTTAATACCGTAGTCTAGTCCTAACTTGTTTCTTATTTTGCCGATAAGTATTTGTACTACAAAGAGCTTTACCATTTACTGATTTACAGAGAAGTATTTGCTTATCATGTAGCTAGGATTACCCGTGCAATACACATCAAATGCCTTTTTTCTTTCTCTTTTTTTTTTTTTTGTTATTGTAGTTAAATGTAAATTATGATTAAACGTTAATGGAAGTGTTACTTGATCTTAAACTATGTCGAATTTTGTACAATTTGTTTGATTGATTTCCGTATAATCAACAATGTTATATTTATCAAAATATTTATTAAATATTTGGTATCCAATTAATATGCATGGTTGGATTAGTCAATCCCACTGAACCTTAATATATGATTGCATCCCATCTACATATTATTATAAAATATTAATTTCTGTTTGGGTAGGATTTAATGTAAGTGGGTCTCTTATTAATACACTAGTTATTGTTCATGCCGGAAAGTACGGGAGTAAAAAAAAATTAACAATCATAAATATAATTTTTATTAACACCCAACATCAAATTATAAACATAAAGAACAAAAAAATAAATTTAAGCACCGGTTATATTGGGGGTGAGCGGTGGTAGTAGTGGTGGATAACAGTGATAGTGGTGGGAGACGCTAATGGTTATGGTAGGCGGCGAAGACTGTTGTGATGGTAGTTGTGGGTGATCACGGTGATGGATTTTGGGTGACAATGGTAATAATGGTAGTTATGAGTGACAACGATGGTGGTGGTGGGAGACGGTGATGATGGTTGACAGTGATAATTGTGAGGCGACTACGATAATGGGTATGAGTGGTGGTAGGCGACAGTGATAGTGTGTGGTGGCAAAAGAAATTGGTGGCGGAGGTGCATAACAGTGTGTGACAGTGATGGTGGATAATGACGAATGGTGGTGGTAAGTGTGGTGGGGTGATAGTGGGTGGCGACGGTGGTGAGTGGTGATGGGTAGTGCTAGGTTATGGTAATGGGTGGTGGGATGATAGTGATAGAGGTAATAAATATAAGAATGAGATAATGATGTTGGTGGATGGTGGCAATCGATGATGGGTGACGACGATGATGATGGTGGTGGGAGGTGACGATGATAATAACGGTAGTGGTAGTGGTGGTGGTGGTAGGGCTGTGGCGACAGCAGTGGTGTGGTGGCGATAGCAGTGGTGGTGGTGGGGATGGGTTGGCGGCAGTGGTAGTGGGTTGGTGGCAATGGTGGTGGTGAAGTGTTTTTGTAGATAAATGATTTTAAAGAACTAGAAGTTATTTACTTTTACTTTTATTTACTTACTTATTTAAGTAGTAAAATTAGTTTTGATTTATTTAGAAGTAATTAAAATAAGTTATTTCAAATATATATATTTTTAAAAGTATTTAGAAAATAATGATGGTGGTGGGTAGTGGCAGTGGGTGACGATGGTGGTGGGATGATTGTGACAATAATAATAAATATAAAAATGAGATGATAATGATAGTGGATAGGAAAAAAATGAGATGATAATGGTAGTGAATAGGAAAAAAATGAGATGATAATGATAGTGGATAGGGGCAGTGGACGACGGTGGTAACAATCAGTGATAGATGACGACGGTTGTGATAGTGGTAGATGGTGGTGGTGGATGGTGGCAATGGTGGTAATTGTGGTAGAGGAGGTGGTGGGGACGGGTTGGCGGCGGTGTTGATGTGCTGACAACGGTAGTGGTGGTGAAGTATTTTTATAGAGAAATGATTTTAAAGAAGTAGAAGTTATTTGTTTTTACTTTTATTTACTTACTTATTTAAGTGATAAAATTAGTCTTGACTTATTTTGAAGTAATTAAAATAAGTTGTTCTAAATATTATTTTTTTTAAAGTGTTTAGGAAATAATTATGGTGGTGAGCGACAATGGTGGTGGGATGACAATGACAATAATAATAAATATAAAAATAAAATGATCATGGTAGTGGATAGGGGCGATGAGCGGCAATAGTAACAATCAGTGGTAGATGACGACTATTGTGGTAGTGGTGGATGGTGGCGATGACGATGGTTGTGGCAGAGGAGGTGGTGGTGGTGGTGAAGTTGGGGGGTGGTAGAAACAATGATGGTGGGGGTGATGGGGGTGGTGGTGGGATGGCGGGTATTGTGGTGAAATATTTTGTAGAGAAGTGATTTTAAAGAAATAGAAGTGATTTTTTTTTTTTTACTTATATGCTTATTTAAATGATAAAATTACTTTTGATTTATTTAAAAGTAATTAAAATAAGTTGTTTTAAACACTATTTAAAAAAAATAAAATACTTATGAAAAATTATAAGTTTTAGAAGTACTTTTGAAAAGTCACTCCAAACAAACTCTTAAGGAGCCTATTTTTCCTATTAAATTTGATAAATTAATATTAGTTGTCAAATTAACTTTAAAATAAAATTTAAAATCATCTCAACTACAAAAAATAAAAATTAATTTTTGTATTATACATTATTATATAGATAATGGATGAATTAATAAGAATTTTTTTTTACATAGTCGAAATTATACTCCTAGCATGGATGATGTTATAATCAGGTTTGTTGATAGATTAAATTTTGATTCGAAACCGCATTGGAATATAGTAAGAGTTTGATTGATATTCTAAATGGATTATTTGAATCCAATTCCGAATCTGTGACATCCAATTCTTTTTTTTTTTTGGAGAATTGTATTTGTTTATCTCAATACATAATTTGATCATCAAAGGTATCTTTCTAATCATATTTTACCATATGTCTTTTATGACTTTTATTATCCTATTTTTTGATTGGCTGGATCAGTCACCTACTCATCTTCTCATCCACTCACTAGCCACTATTTATCTAGATTTATTCAAATTTATTTTTACTATCCAATAAATTTTAATAGTTCTTTTACATTTTTGGTGATAGGAGTTAAAATGCAAGCGAGAGATGAGAAAAGAAAAATAGGAACGAAGATAATTGGTTG